GGGGAATGGAGAAGATGCTCAGCCGGACTGAAAAAGAAACCGGGTAGGTTTCAGTTCCGTGGCGCTAAGGTCAAGCAGAAGCGAACGATCCACAGAGAGGCAGCTTCCCAAACATGCGTGCGGGAGGCCGATTCTAGGTTTCTAGATTATTACTTTGGAGGAAAAAAAGAAAAAAAACAACGGCAAGAATCGCAGCTCCCCGCAGCCCCATCATTAGGGACGGGAAACTGATCTGAATAATAGTTATTAGCACAAACTTCACAAACACAAACAAAGTGGCGCTAATTTACATACAAGCCTCAGCTTCCTGCATCCTTTGAGCCCCTCTCACCCATTTGTTTTGGTTTTCTATTCCATAAAAAAATGCCTCATAAATATATAATAAAATTTCGCCTCCATCTCCTTCTGAGGATGATTCCCCTCATTTATCTCCATCCACCCTGTAAGAGCCGCGTCTGTTTGTGAGTTTTCCGGCATTTTCCGCACCGTTCCCACCTGTAAGTGCCCAGACACACTCACACAGCCTCTATACCTCATACAAATTTGATGAATCTGTAATACTTTTAAAAAATAAAGATAAAAAAAATGTTTAGGTGTTCCTGGAACTTTAGACAGGAACATTTTTCAGAGATTTTTATTGTTTTTTTTGTTCTCTCCATAATTGCTAGCTCGACTCGATCCGCAGTGAAAATTAGTGAGCTGACATTTGCAGCTGCTGCAGATGGCGGACGGTGCTAACCTTCTTTCCGTGCCAGTAAGGGGCTGATGAGTGGGAATACGCTTTTGAAAGCTCAAGGGCTAAACACAAGTCCATGCATAAAAATGTCCCTGGTTACATTCAGACGGCTGCATTTCTCTGTAGCGCGGCTGGGGTTTATGGTGGCCCCCATCAACACATGCTAACTATAAAGCAGCTTATGGGACAAACCGTAGCTCAGTCTAACGGGACCGACAGTGCCTGCAGCCTCCTCCGAAACCAACGTTTCGAGGGCTTTCATTGTGGCTGTCAAATTAAAGTCACAGTTTGGATATAGAAGCATCAAAACTCGGCTTTCATTGGGTGCAGAATTATTTACATCCAAAAAGCCCAAGCTAACAAGTCGCTATCTCTCAGTACAGCCTCAGGAATGAAGGATACGATATAGGAGGCATTTTAGCAGGGCGGGGCAACATGGGCACACTCCCAAGCTAAAAGCTGATTGGTCCCCGGAGTGACATCTCCTCTGTCACTCACCGATTCTAATCATGACATTGGCTGGTAAGGTTTTGACCCTTCTCTTACGAATTACGAGCCCTCTTATGCTTCCCGTCCCTGAAGAATCCTAGAATCGCCCCTGCATTTTCGCACCTTGATTTGCAGGTTTGAGTCCACGGACGTCATCGCACTGCAGAAGCCACCTACACAGATTCAAGGGGAAATGGCTATTCGGAAACACATGCAGTGCCTGGCCTATAATCCAAATGCACCCTAAACATATAATTTTACACAATGACTGGTGTGATCCATTTAAAAAAAAAAAAAAAACAGGACTAATCGGTGAGTCATTTTGACATCCATTTGGCGTTCTCTGAACCGAAGACTGTTCCCTACGCAGACTGGTCACNCACGCCCCTTCAGGCGGGACCCTACTCTGTGATCTCCAGGATGAGGTCGTCACCCTCCAGACTGCTGTCCGGCGTGACGTAGATCTTGGCCACGGTGCCGGCCAGGGGCGAGTTCACCACCGTCTCCATCTTCATGGCGCTGAGCACGCAGAGCGGCTGGCCCTTCTCCACCTTCTGGCCGGCCTTCACCCTCACCTCCACCACCTTCCCCGGCATGGGGGCGCCCACCTGGCCCCGCACATCCTTCAGGGCCTTGGGGTGGAAGTGCATCTCCTGCAGAGAGGCGGAGGTAAGGGCGGGGTGCGCGTCAGGGACTATCGCGGGGTCTGTTCGGCACCAGAGTCCATGCAGCACTGAATCATGGGTAAATATCGCAATTATGACAGTCACTCTAAACACTAAAGCTATGACGACATATGTTTGACCTCCGCTTACGCTGGAAGGTCACAAGGTCACCGAGGACGGCGACGCCCCCCTAGATGGCATGTTCCCGACGACCCGGAAAGTGTCTACACCGTAGGCAGAATACCCCCCCCAGATTAATTACCCTATACCTGCGTCGTACGTCAGCGTTTCCACTCCTTTAATGGGTTAGCATTTGTCTGGAACGCGGCGGCCCTCCTCCACCCTTTAACCCCTTCCAGGTGACGCCTATACCCCTCAGGACATTTTTAAATAATCTTCACCGCGGACGACTGATCGCTAGAGAGAACGTGGGCTGGCCGACGTCCTCCAATCGGGAGGTGCTACCTTTCAATGACACACAGCTTTGTTTTGAATTACACATTAGATAATTCAAGAACGACTAGAGTTATCTAATTGGAGGGGCACCATAAAACGGCAGATGAAGGCGCAATAAATCCGAGACCAGCAGGGGGCAATAGCGGTACCTTCATGGCCAAGGTGTCCCGGACCAGGACGGATCTGAGCTGACCGTTAAGCTCGAAGAAGACCTCCCTTTGGCCGGCCTTGTTCAGGTCTCCGAGAGCCAAGGCTTTTATATGGAGAGTCTTTCCCCTCTCCAGCTCCACCTGAGAGAGAGAGAGAAGCACATCGTTATTCGTGTCTGAATCCATGCAATTACTACCACCGGGAGTAGGGAGGCGCTGAAGGTGACCTCAAACTCCTCAGCAATCTTGGGCCCATCCAGGAAGAGGCGCGTGTTCAGACAGTCCACTGGCCCAAAGGTGTTGGTGAACTCGCGGAACTCCTGGAAGACCTTCGGGTACATGGCGGCCGACATCACGTCCTCGGGGGTGATGTCATCACTGTGCGCTGCCCGCAGCCGCTTTTCCAGGGCGTCGAAGTCCATGGGGGCAAGAGAGGCCCCGGGGCGGCCCTCCACACGGGGCAGGGACTTCAGCACCTGTGCCGGGGGGGGGGGGGGGAGGAGACAGCGTGAAGTGCGGAACCGGAGGCCGGGTCGCAGATCTAACGTGGACGACCGACCCGAAGACAGAAGGTGCGAGTGGGTGGGCGGCACGCTACAGCGGGCACGGGGGTCACATGACTGCAAGTTTGTGGGCCCGTCCTTGAGTAACAAAACGCTGAAGCGAATCAGGACAAGCACCTCGCTGCGGTCACACAGGACGGAAAGCGAATTTCCCTCCCTTTCACATTTTTCATGCAATCTGTTTCATATATCTTCCTAAATATTCTTTCTCAGGATATGTGTGTACTGTGTACTTTCTGTTTACTTCTCTGCACTGTGCGTACTTGTCTCTGCGCCCTGTTTTGTTCTGCAGTTCACATTTATTTGCCGGAACTTTATGTTCCTTTGCTGCTGTTAGCACAAGAATTTCTCCCTGGGATCAATAAAAGGTTTATCGTATTAGAGAGAAGAACACAGAGCGAACCAGCCGATTACTAACGTGTCTTAAATGTTATTGGATCTTTCGATGCTGATGTTGACACCCACGCATCCTGTTAAGGACCTTGGTGAAACAGACCGTCGGCTTGTCTTGCGCCTGACCCTCAAATCCGCGCCAAGGCTAGATAAACACAGAAAAACGCCGGGCGACCGAAGTTGAGCGTCGCGGAGTCGGAGAGCGAGCTTTGTTGCCGGATCTCCTTCATGCCGGTGTAGCTAGCAGCCATTACGGCAGCGCGGATAATTAGTGCCGGAACGGGAACAGAAGCACGACAACAAAAGGCCGACACCTCCGCCAGGCCTCAGGCTGGAGGAGGATGGCGGAGTAGAGGCAGAGCTACGGAGATGTGTTTAAATATAGATCCAGTATGAGATGATTCTCAGAAAGCTCGAGACTCAAAGCTCAGCGTTCCGGGGCGGCGGGAAGCTATGTCCAACGATCCAAATCCCCCCCCCATCTTTCCCAAGATGCGAAATTCCCACTGTAAACATCTGGAAACGCCTCTGGCAGCATCAAAGAGCGATTAGCCGACGCTGCAGTGCCGTCCGTCAGTTTAATTCCGGCTACTGCTATTAATGAGGCTAAAAGAGGGCACTGGCCAACTGCGGCACTGGCCGGCTGGACGGCTTGTTCACACGCCTCTTCACCTGTTTGCTAATGGGACGGCGTTAACATTCCCGCCGGCGCTCGCTGGAACCAGAGCACGACAGCGGGGGGGGGCGAAAAAAAAAAAGAAAAGAAGAGAATCTCTTCTCCACGCATGTTCCCTGATCACGCTGATCACCGGAACCCAACTGGGTGGCCCTACCCCGGATCACAGGGGCTCAGGGGAGCGGGACGAGGACGCCGGACGCCTCACCTTAGACCGGAAGGGCTCGGGGAAGCCCCCGTGGGGGATCCCGACGTACCCCTGCAGGAATTCCACCACAGAGAGCGGGAAGGAGAGCTCGTCGGCCCGCTCCTCCACCTCGGCGCGCGTCAGCGAGTTCTGCACCATGAACTGCGCCAGGTCGCCCACGATCTTAGACGAGGGGGTCACCTGAGGGAGAGACACACCATTAAAAAGTGGAAGGGGGGGGGGGGGGGGGGGGGGGGGGTTGTTAGTGGTCTGAATCAGCAAGGATGTGTATGAGAAGAGTGGAGACCTTGGTAACTCCTGATGACGCATCGGTAGCAGTGGGGGGGGGCAGGACGTGCCGACGCCCATCCCAGATCCGCGTCCTTAAATATCAAAACCCAAATACCTAGTACAGGTACATTAGGATGGAGCAAAAACATGATCTTGTCTGTTGGTCCCAGAACTGGTCTGACTGACACTGCTTTATTCCTAACCTGCTACATCTCCTGTGTGAAGAAACGCTCAGTCCTGGTCTCAGTCCCTAGCTGGTCTCTGTCGCGGTGTCTGTGGTTCTTTAGCGCAGAATTAGTCCCCCAGGTCTCAATCTGAACTTAACCATGTTATTGCACACACAGGCGAGCAGTGGACTGTTCATTCCTTTAGGAGCACCAATGCACAGCGATGCATTATAGTTCTGTCTCCCATAATGCCAGATGTTAATCCCAGAGTGCGTGTTGATACCAAGAGATCACAGCGTCTATTCTGCTTCAGATTGGGATAAACAGGGGTCAGATCACAGCCAGACCTCTTCCCATGAAACATATTCAAGCCAAATAACTTCCCGGCTGTCTTTTCGGGGGTGCTGACATTTTAAATCCCCCCCCCCCCCCATATTGTGGTCCAGCTCACTCTCCCGTCAGGCAGCGTCACGGACGACCTACCGGCTCGCCGACCCGCTGGAGCCATCAGTAGCCAGTTGGCACGTCAAACCTGGCCTTTCCATCCCCGAAACCCGACCACGGCTACGCCGGTGTGGCGGCGCGGAGCATAGCGAGGACGACCTGCTCAGAATTACATCGGAATGAAAGCAAAAACGCCACTAAAAGCGAGGAGGCGTCACTCGAAGGGCCCAGATCGGCAGGGATGCGAAGGGCGTTAAACCTTCAGCCAAAAGGCAGGATCCAGAAACGGAATTAAGTGGCCAGTGTAGCAGATCATCGCACAGAGCACTGATTTATACCAGGAAGCGTCCAGGGCGACGGTTTCAAAGGCTGACCCTGAGCTACAAAGAGGGCGCCCCGCAAAACGCCATAACAAGCAAGAAAAATGCGGTGGGGAGGGATTATGGGCATAGAGAGAGAGACTTTGTACACACAACAAGCGGGAGACAGCCGTTTTAAAGGGTAACTCATTAATCGGTTTCACTTTGTTAACCGTCAGTTAGTATGTCAGTGAAGACCACACACACACAGAGCACTAAGCACAGGAGTAGCTTGCTCAATTCCTTTATTTTACATATTACAGTTTTAAATTCCAAAATGTCGCACATTTGAAGGAAAAAAAAAACATTAAGGTTAAATAACGGGGGGGGGGGAAATTAGAGATTCCACAATATACGATACATGTCCATATGCCAAGCTTGTTATTTTTCATTAATGACTTGCAAACGATTAGTCTATTACTTGTCAATTTGTCATGTTCCTCAGTGTGCCATTCTGAAGCTTACATTTTGGTCTGTTAACCAGAAGCCAGTTTAGAGGCTGGTATGAACACTTTGTGATGCTGTAACCATTTTGACAGCTGACTGCTGGATTTTTACAAAAAAAAAAAAAAAAAAAAACAGGACTAATCGGTGAGTCATTNCAGGACTAATCGGTGAGTCATTTTGACATCCATTTGGCGTTCTCTGAACCGAAGACTGTTCCCTACGCAGACTGGTCACCTTCAAGCTGAAGGTGACAGACACACATTTGCAGTGTCTCAGTTCAGCCACTAGGGGAATTCCCTCCTGGTTGGCGCTCTCGAACTCACTTAGCCCGGAGGAAGAACGAAAAATAAAAACAACCATCGCCGTGCTACATTCTCAGACAAAAATAACAAAAAGTTAGACTAAAAGCGTCTCCCGCTGGTCCATCCTCCAGGGGGCGTCACACCAACGCCACTTCCTGTAGGTTTACCCAGATCCCTAACAGCCAGAGAGAATGATCGCGCTCTGTAGCCTAATTGTTTTCGCCTGAGAGCTTTGACGGGCCGACAGGAATGAAGTCACGTGACTCCCGAGTGCCAATCAGGTCCCTTAAAAACGCTCTCGCGGAACGGGACGCTGCGTAAGTGTCATCAGAGCGACCGACTGGCGTTTTTATGCTCCCAGTTTTGGCGCAGGTGTCTCAACTGGGCAAATTTTCTGATCCCAGGTAACACAGGACAGGATCGAGGACGACGGGAGGAACGCAGCCATCGGTGCAGGAGTTATTCGCGTGTCTGGGACGTGGCGTGACTGTAATGGCATTTGTAAACAAGGGCCTTGCTTAGCAGTCACGCTGCCAGACAGCGGCGTGAGCAGAACCATCATCACATCCCAGGGTTTACTGATGAGTGAAATTACACTGCAAGGCCACGTCGGGGGTGGGGGGGTGGAGGGGGGACGTCAACACTGGCTGTCTGAAGAACACGCTGGAAATGCGTGTGCTTAAGCGTGACTGGAGGAACGTGAGCGCGTCGATCCTAAAGCGCGACGTCGGGCATGTGGGAAGACGCCTGCAGGAAGCCAGCGAAAGAGACGCCCTGCTGGGGGGGGCTACAGAGTCACCGCGTCACTAAATCAGACCCCATCCCTCTCCCCCCCCCCCCCCCCCCCCCCCCCC